AGATGTGGATAAGAGACAGGATTGAATGTGTAGGCATCTTTTATTAAAAGATAAAATAATGAAAAGGAATGAATATGTTTTGTATTGAAAAATGATGAAAATTAAGTACGACCCCCTTAACTTTAATTGAAAGTATGAGAGCGGTGGTTTGTCGACATATGCGCTTATTATCATTACGATACCATAATACTAACTGGACCAAGAATAATTGTTTGTTATCTTTATCTTACCAGTGAATTTAACTTTGCAGTGAGCTGTGCCTTCGATAGCATCGGGTGGTAGTCTCAGATCAACGATATCTGTCTGACTTCTTTTTTCACGATTTCGCAATTCTATTAGGATAAAGATAATTTACCAGAGCTACAAATCAAACAACAAATATATTTGTAATTTTCGGAACATTTTACTTGTGATTGAGATTTTCTATAAAAAATTACCATTAGTGAAACTAACGAAGTGTGTTTTTCTCAAATTTGGGCCATACCATTACGGAAAAATGAAAGTGCGCCTTCACTAATCATCACGAAAAAGCTACATTAATTATGGAAATATTATTAAGATCATTAAATGAATAGGCTTTCTAGCGGCTTAATAAGCACTACGGCCTTTTCATGGAGGTGTAAAATATTAAAATTTAATAGCGGTGGTATTATATTTGCATCAATCAATCAAATGGTAAGGTAAATAATTATTTTTATTAAGTAAGAATTACTTTAGAAGAAATCAATTTATACTAACAACATATACCAAATCTTACCAATGTATACCTATGTATAGCAATTGTTAATATTTCACTCAAGTAAATTTCAAGTGCTAGATAAGATTCAATTTTTCCTTCATTTAACAATAGGCCTATTTTACCTTTAGCAGAAACAAATATTTAAAATTGTAATAATGCAGGTACATTCTTACGATCAGCTTGAATGGCACTGGACTCCTGTAACTCATTGACCTCTGGTTGTCCATTCAGTTTTCCCGATGGATCTAAAATTTGTGACAAGGTGAAGTAACGTGTCACACCCTCTGGCTGAAATTAACAAAACAGTAAACGGAACCATAATCAACATTCGGTTTACATTTTCTATTTAAAGTGACACTCCTTACTTGGCACAATGCATCCAGTTTTTATAAATGTTATAGGTAAAAACATTGGCAAATGGTGACCTACTGGCTTGATGGTTTATTCGTTTGTGTCGTATATTTGTTTCTTTCACACATGAGTACAAATGGGCACCATGGTGCGGGGTTGATAGACATTTTGTAGCCCTGAATTTTTTCAAAGACATATTTTTTTAAAGTACTGTCTTCCACAACATTTTGCAACTCAGACATTGTGAACCCCAAACATTTTTTAATACTGACGATGTTGAAGAAGGTGACAATGATGATGATAAAGATGATTTATTTATTTTACTTATTTATTCGTAATAGAACACTCAAAATGCAACAAAAGTTGAAAATTTCTTGAGTTTACATATAAAAATATGCCTACCATACAGAAACAAACAAAAAACAATAAAATCAAAAGTATGAGCCTACAGTAAATTATTGAATAATAACTAATTTTAAAAAAGCAGTATTTACAAAATTATAAAAAATACATTATACTTCATTATTAACAAATACATATTAAAATATTTTATATATTACACAGCAAATTAATGAATGTAAAACTATCATTATACAAAATACACAATTCATTAAAATTGATTAATATGAAATCAAATATTTACCTTAACTACAAAAAACAGATTTAAAATTCAATCAATTAGGCCAAATAAAGAAAATCCAAATGAAAATGGTAATGATGGTTGTGGTAGTAGAAGTAGGGGTGGTATGGTAGAGGTGATGATGGCTATGAATGTAATAGCCAATTTTAACTCTTTGCTTATAGCAATTTCAATATTACTCACAATAACTCTAAGTGTTTTGGTAACCGCATCATTCAATACAGAGGTGTATGCAACAACTCGTATCTCAAACTCGCCAACTTTAAGCGGAATCATCGGATATGTCACAGAATATGAATCATCAGGATTCACTTCAAAATCTTTTTTGCTTGACCTCTGACCTGCATGAGCTTCAGAGCAAATCCCTTCTGTTCCTATTAAGTACATGGCCACCTGAGACATAATTCCAAACATTCTTATTTGTGTTGTGATAAAGTATAACATAGGTACATTTTGTATGTGTTAATAACCATTAAATAATGTTTTCATTTTACACGGTATAGTACTTCTAATCTGCTTTGAAGACAACATAGAAATTAAAAAGAATTAGGAAAAATTGCAATATATTTGATTGTTTTATGTTTTTTAACTATATATTTTAATATTTGTATATGAACAGACTAATATGTTCAAAGCTTTGGTATGGCGATACACAAGTGGAACTAGACTTGCCACACAAGTCCCTTATTATCGTTTTTTCTCATTCTGGACAGCGCCACCAAGAAGCAAGTTCATTTTGAGACAGTAAGTATTAATCCGAAAAAAAAAGAAATCGAGTATGGGACGCAAAATAAATTATGTATGGTGCGCAATAAGCGCAATAAAGAGTGAGCAACCTAAACTTAGAGCCTGGAACCCTGGCTAAAGTGGAACAAGCATTTATTACTTCATCTCACCTTTATGTTTTAAATCTCACTTTTATGGGGTTTTTTGGCCTTATTCATAATTAAACAAAATCTCACCTTTATGCTTCTTTTGCGTTCGTCATAATTAAACAAAGTTGCTTTGATTTCGACCTGTTCTCCACGAACTACTGAGTAAGGCACATCAAGCTGAATGAATATTTTCTTAAATGCTGTTAATGTGACTGGATTTGCTACACACATGCCTAGGTCACGTGATAATGCCACGCCCTGGATCAGCCACTTAGTGATGCTATCTGGTAGGGTGAACTCATGCCCTATTTCCCCTTCCTCCCTACAAAAGTAATAATATGATATGTTTTTAGAGTTAATTAATGAATATAATTTAAAGAAACTATGTCAACTGTCAATCTTTATTTATTGACATCTTTAAAGAAAGTAAACTATAAATAAGCCAATTCCTAGTTTGAATTGCACATGCCCGTACCAAAGTCAATTGACGTAAACAAACTACTGATTAGTGAAACAAACTACACAACATTGATTTACGTCGGTTAACTGCATGTGCAGTTTAAACTACGAATTGGCTTATTTCTTCAAGCACTGCACAGTACAATCTGGAATAGGTTAGGCCTAGTTAAAGTAAAATCAAGGAATGCACAATATTATACAATTCATTAAAATACAAGTTAAAAAAATCACATCGAACCTCATAGACAATAATATATTTTGAAAACACTTATTTACTCATTTCTCATTTCATTTGATGCATTTGAATTTGTACTGTTTTATGTTACTTGATTTGGAATAAATTACTTTTGAATTGAATTGAATTGAATTTACAGTAGGCCTAGGCTTTTTAAAATTTGTAGTGGCCAAAGTAGCTCAAACAACTGCTACAACGTCTTCCAATGTCAATTGATAACCCCAGAACCAAGAACTTCAACATAAGGATTATGTGAAATACTAGTAAAAGATCAATTTATTTTCCCTATTTCTATAGTTTTCCACACAAATTTCTCCGCAGCCCATTTTCCATATGAGAAGAGTATGAAAATGAAAAGAAAAAGAAAGAATAGTGTTTGGCTTTCAAATTACTATAAATAAATAATATTTCTTACGGAATTAAAACATCTTCAAATAAGAAGCTTTCCCTGAAATCACTCCTCTCTGGGACGAAGATGTCGTCAATAAATTCGCTATCTGGATTACCACCTCCAATTCTTCCGCGACTCATTCCATCGACCATCAAACGACAGCAATTGTAATATCTCTGCACAAGTGGATTATCCACTGGAAGATCTTTTCTTTTTGCAATCCGCTCAGTTCGTTGCTCACATGTCATACCTTTAATTATTTGAAAACCTTGCTCACAAATTTCGACAAGTTCTGGATCAGATTCTAGTTGAAAAAGAAAATCAGTGGAGTTTTGACAAACTGATGTTTTGTTGGTTTGTTTTTGTTTTTTTCAAACCAAATTCATCGTGAAGATATTTGCCTTTTATTATGGAGAAATCCTTCTAAATCCCAAGTTTCTAATGAACTTGTTATGGCACCGACCAGAAATATAGTAGTGGTCTTAATTATGATTAGCCTCAGTCTGGTCAGCGATAAAGTCATTGACAGTCCCTGTTTAAATAGGAGTTTAAAATGGAAAAATCCAAACCAGACAGGAAAGAAACACCACAACCCTCATCATTCAGAACATAAGCCGTCGATTGGCATTTCTTAAAGCCGGACACTCACTGCATCCGACGGTTGTCGGCCAATGGGATTCTATGAAGAACGTAACACGACGACGCAAGCGCAACGGATCGTTTTTAATGACAATCCATTCAGACTGCCACTGCCAATGCAGACATCATCTCGTCATATAGCGATCACAAAGAGCGGAGTTGGATTCATCGTGCGAAGTGAGTGCACGGCCTTAACTCCTCCTTCCATCTGACCTTTTCGGTAATTTCAACGGCATCATAAACATTACATCGCATCACCATGAAGTGGGCATTAACATTCTTGATATTAATAATAATTTAACCTTCAATTATTACTTTGATGATAATATTTTGATTGATATCATTGATGAATACATACAGTATCTACGTACCATCTTGGTATGTATACGGTAGGGCTCTTCTTCTTCGTTGGCTGTTCTGACAACCAAAACCTGCCAAAAATAACAATAATTAATATAGCCTATAACAAAAACGTTATTTACTCTCCATGTTTTTAATAATTTACATATAGTGAATGCCAAGGTAATTTCAAAAAATTTATTCTACAGTAGAAATCATCAACGTACCTATCTTCAAATCAGTATCAATCACATCACTAACGGTTGAAAGACCAGAATCCTAAGAAGATAAGTATTAAATAGAATAATAATTATGATTACGATGATAATGATGACGATCTTATTGATGATGATGATGATGATGTTGATATTAACAGAAAAAAGAATAAACTAACAATGACAATAAGAACAATGGCAACAATAATTTTAATTATTATCATTAACATCATCATCATTATCATTATCATTATTATTATATAACACTAATCTGGTGATCATGTTAAAAACAATACTAAATCTATTGTACAAATGAACAAAGCACAAAATGTCGAATTAAAATTATCGTAAAAAAACACAATCATTATTATGATTAAATCAAATTACAGCTCTCTTTCACTCAGCCTTTCACCTTCAACAATGTTTCCCTCCTTCTCCTTATCTCCATCTCCATCTCTATCTTTTCATCAAAGTAATTCTCATAAACCACTAATACAGTGATTCATGGTTTGGTTGGTAAACTAAACATTCTCGAATAACCGGTGGCCCATACACACATCTGCATTTGAACCAAGTGCATCTTTCGAAAGAATAGGTTACTCAAGTGCTCTGGTCCACTTCTGCCACTGTGGTTATGGACTTAGAATATGGTTATTTGGTGGATCTGAATGAGGTAAACTGACAAAGATACAAACCTCAAATACACTTTGAGCATTTATACCTCCACCGGGTCCACAACCTAGGTCAAACGTTTCCATAGTTTCGAACATCTATATTAGAACAAAAAACAAGAAACACTGTCTGTAGTAAATACTGCCATAGCACTAGTTTTTAATAGAATTCACTACTTGTCAAGAGTTAGAAAAATAAAGAAATACAAGAATATAACCAGAAAGTGCTTTGCTTAGTCCTGAAAATACTTTACGTTTCATATTTTTATGAGAACAATTCTGATTTCTAAATTCTGTGTCCAGAGTGACAAGAATAAATAATATAAATTGTACACTGTCAGATGCAGCATGATCTTTAGATACAAAGAAATGTAATAAGCAAACAAAAATATGCCATGTCCTCTGCCAGGTACACGGTGTCATAGCAAAAGTGGGAGTCATGTCAGCAAAGCACCCGGCCAAGAAAAAAAACCATTTAAAAAAAATACTGTCAGTAAGGTTCAAGATTCAAGAAACTTTATTGCCCGTTATACATGGAAATATACAGAAAATTGGTTTACTTAAAGTTGAAAAAAATTTACATGAACACATTACTCGTTCATTCAATGGCGATAAAAATATAATCTTAAAATTAAACATCAAACACTAAAAGGAGAATAAGATACGCAAATATACAGTACTTTTAAAAAAAGCAATATTTTAAAGATTTGTTAAAGCTGTTAAAACTCTGTTAAAACTGTTAAAAATTACGGAATTAAAAATTATAGCATAGTTGCACTTGAATTAAAAAGATGAATACTATTTGGCACAAATGAATTTCTATATCTACAAAGTGATGTTCTTGGAGGCAAAAGTCTGATACCTGATCTGTTGTAATTATAAACAGAGTATAGAGGATGTGAAGTACCTTTTATTATGTTATGAAATTTAACAGCCACTGAATTTTCATATACTGTATTGATGATAAAGTATTGGTGTAAAGGTCAGTAGTATTAATGATGCGTTGTGCAACTTTCCTAGGCCTTTCGAGATTCTTCTTTTCCATAGCTGTTACATTACCATAGTAGCAAGAAATAGTGAATGAAATAATACTTAAAATAATACTTTGATAAAATGAAACCAATATCTTATTGTTGACTGAGATTTTTTAGCTAAATACTGCATTAGAGTTCCATTTAAGCTTATCGTTTAATATAGTTCCTAAGTGAAACGGTATCAACTCTTTTATCCTTAATAACAAGTGGCTCATGGTTCACATTTGATCGTCTAAAAGAAAAATCACAGCTTAACCTGTATTTTTTGTTTCACTAAAGCACTGTCCAGACTACCAAACCTTATGTGAAAAAAAACATGTGAAATGCCCAAATATGGTCATGATGACATCACATCATGACCATATATAGGCACATCATGACTATATATAGGCACATTATGACCATATATAGGCACATCATGACCATATATAGGCACATCATGACTATATATATGGGCATGCAACAGTTTTTCGTCAAAAAAATTGATAGTGTGGACAGAGCTTAACGCTCTGTCCACAAAGAGTAATATAACATCATCACGCCCATATATTGGCACATCACACAAATTTGTCACAAAATTTGATAGTTTGGGCAGAGCTTTGAAATGAACAGCAATGCTCTACCTTTTTTAAAGTTAATCTGCTTGTGTCACGTAGTTGTAGTACTGCTTTATCTACCGCTACAAGTCCAATGTAAGTATTTGGTTTAGCATACATCAATAAATTTACGGGATCGCTTGGCTCATATTTGTCATTCTCCGTCCTTAGTGTCACCTGTAATTGAAAGTGGTTGAATTTAAACTTTGTATTAGTGCAATTTCCTCTCTGTTTGCATACTTAAAACTATTGTCTACTAATGTAGATTTTAAAATGGGGTTACAATTCTTTATAAACCGCCTGATTTTTTTTTTTCCAAATTTTTAATCTTACTCCTGCATGAGCAATTAATGTTATTATTAAATAGTGTATGCTAGTACACGTTGTCATAGACAGACCTATAATTGTGAATCTGAAGTTATCGACTCAAAAACATACAAGGATTAACCATCGCCTAAATCTATCAAGACCTCAAATCCAAATTCACTGAGAAACTGAAATAGTGTGTATTGTTTGCGTTTTATTAGGCATTTGCATTTATTATCTGAACAACAGTGAATTTTGCTATTCTTTTAAATTTCTTTTATATTAAAATATTGCAGTTCCTAGCATAGGTTATTAACCCCTATAGTCCTATAGTCAACAGTGTGCAATACCCTATTTTGGTAGGCTGCTCCCCTGAAATTTAGTCTATTGTACATTCTTGTGGTCCTAAATTATAGTATCCTGTCCACATAAAAGTGATGGATAAACAGAACCAAGATAAGGGAATGGAAAGTGACTAATCAGGTTTAGGAACCAATAAGAATATAATTGTCTCATGATCAAATCATAAATCAATAGAATGTATTAAGTCGCGTTTATAGAGGAGCCATATCTTTCTTTATACCATACACGTTGTTGAGCAGTGGAATTGAATTCTGAGGTCGAATCCCATAAGAAGTCCAGTAAGAGAAGAGTGGTATCTCAGCCCGAGGCCCGTGGCTTTGGCTATGTGGATATTCCATCAGAATACCTGTACAAACTTAATGATACACTACTGAGATGGGGCAGTGTCTACACCGTTCAGGTCAGATTGAGCTGACTCCAATAAAGGGCTGCTGTCCTATCGAATGTTAGGTTTAGTTGGATGGAGATATATTTTCAAGATTTATGTTGTAGTAGTGTGGGAACACCCAGGCCAATGTCTGATCGCGTAACTGAAACCCGAACCCGCACGAGAAATTATGTGAGAGTTCGCTTACGCTCAAAGTAGGGGTAACACCAAAGAGTGGTAACATACACTGCATACATAGTGCAATAACACTACAGTAATAAAATCAGAGCACAAAATGCTAAATTTCTCCATATTCAGGTAAACAAATTTTATTTCAACTTTCTAGATAGGCCTAATTAGTTTCGTCATCCCGCAATTAGTTAAAAATGATAATTACAGTGGATTTTTACCTGATTTTCACATTCTTCATTGATGTCCAAGTACAGAGAGTCAGCTACAATCTTGTTATTCTTATCAACGAAGTATGTGATTATACGAGCACTAGGTGTCATTTCAAACGTGATTGGAATATTTAGTGTTATAACAACGCCCCCAACATTCGTACTTCCTTGCTCTAAAATCTTTCCTTTGGAAACTACCTAATACATTCAAGTAGAAATAATGGTAGTGGATTTATGTATTCATGGTTCTTCTTTACTAAAAGCTGTTTTTGAGAAATATCAGAAGCAGGAGCGCAGAGCCCCCAAAAATACAGGCTGTCATATGGTGTACCATGACATCTAAAGACAAGCCCCAGCAAATAAAGCCAGGTTTCCTTAAAATCGCTACAGTGTTTAGTGCAAACGTTGAACTGCATAGCAGTCCCAAATGCAATCGGGAAGGCTAATCGATTCGACCGACCAATAGGCAATAGCGTGTAGCAATTGTATGAAAACCAAGCTTTAGCTATTTCATAACACCTGGGCTTAGTAATAACATAGGTGACCACTACTACCAGGTCATATAACTAACACACAATCTAATGACCCATTGACAGGCCCAATCATAAATACATCAACAATGTTTATTTCTTGAAATCTAAACACGAAAATTATACAGTATTAATAATATTATTAATTTACACGAACTTACCATAAAGTATATGCGATCCACAACAGTGTCGGCAGTTAGTACCACTTCAAATCCAATAATGTTGCCAGGCTACCAACAAGCATAAAAATAATTTAAATATTTAAGAATTGATAATCACAATGTAATTATTGACATACTGCAAGTATTCTTCATGTCTTACGTACGCAAATATGTTAGTAAAAATGTAAATATAATAAAATATCAATGATTATACCACTACGTCAGTTGTAGCTCTAACGAGCATAGCATCTCCACTAGAAGTTACGTGCTCAGTTAAAGTCACTTCAAACTCTCCGTTTTCAGATTCAACCATCTCTCCTTTTGGTGTTATCTGCATAATCATTAAAAAAAACCCTAGTTACTTTTTTTTTTTTATTAAATCAAGGTAAATTAAATGTATATACAAAATTAGTCAGCTGGGGTGACTAATTCAAACAATAACTCTGAAGCTCTTCCCCACCCCC